ATTACCAGGGCAAGATATTCACCAGTAACACCAGAACTTCTGGGGTTGCTCATTAACTTGTCGTGTTTCTCAAAGAGGGACCCAGGGGCCTTGTAAGGAGGCGTGCTGAGAATACACACCTTTCATGGCTGAGGCGATGAAATTCGCGTGCCCGTAGAATTGGAAACTCTACCTCCGGAGTCACCGCAACAGGGCCCTGCAGTAGTAACTTGATTTGTTGGTTGGCTTCGGGGCTCGCTACCAGAAGCTGCAAAGAAGACAAGTGAGTATCCCACGTTTTCGAGTCTACTGTGGAACCTAGTACAAAGACCATCAAGATCCATGGTAAACCCAAAAGCCTATGTCCAAAACCCCAAACCAACAAAACAATGAGTGAATGTCCGCCCGTCGCCAAGGTCTACGCAATCCCCTACAAGGCCTTCAAGCAGCCGGGGGCCCAACCAAAAGGCAACCAATAAAGGGGGCGGTTTAGGGTTTCAGGGTTTGGGGTAGACAGACTTAATTAATCAGGTGGGGTTATGGCACTGAAACTGTCCTTTCGAAGAAACCAGCAGAGTAGAGGCGTTTGATCTGCGAATGGCGATCGAGGTGTTTCTGAAACCCATTCTACAGGTTTTGCGCTTGATTTACTCTCCTATGAGCCTTTTCCTCTTTGCAAGTTTGAGGTTAAGTGACGGGTTGTTGGGTTTAGGGTTCAGGGTTGAGGGTTTCGAACGAAGTTGATGTTCTGATCTCATCTAACCCAAAGTAAGGCAACTGCCCGCCCCTAGGTGCTTTGGAAGGAGAGAAGGGCGACCGCAGGTGGGATGGGAGCATTGGCCCTGTCGCACGGCTTGTATTTTGGGGAGGTTCAAGTTCAGGATGTTGGGGCTAGCGGGCGGGGTCCAGCTGGCTTTGAGCCGCAGGGTTTCCGCCCGTGGTGCAGGATTTCGATTCACACTTCAGGCTTGTATCTCTTGAGGTTGCCAGCATAGAGGGTCTGGAAATACAGTTGGGGTTTGGGCACGGGTGCTAATGAACATTGCAACGGGATGTGTAGCATCTACGTAGGTCGTGTTGAGCCAAAGGGGGATCCTCTGTAATCAGCTTCTTGTCAGCAGGCACCAAAGACCGCAAAGGCTTGCTTCCTCAATCGGGCAGTTCTCTGAATTAGGTCCCCAATATAGTACGGCACCCAGAAAAAAGAGCCTAAAAGGGACCCTAATTTAGAGAACTGCCCAATTTGAGAACTTTAGTAATCTTTTACGGGTGGCAAAGAATGTCTTTACCAAAACGATTGAACTTTTTGGGCCCTGGCGATTGAAGGACCCTAAGCCCTACACAAGACCCACCGGAGTGCAGGATACCACACCCTAGGGCTCCAGTTACTTAAATAGTAGGTTACTAACCATAATATTAAGTACCCCAGTAACCTACTATTTAGGTAACTGGAGCCCTAGGGACAGCTTGAGACACAGAGTTGCAGCTGCCAGGAGAAGGTATGGATCAAGCTGCTGGATGAGGTGGCACGGTTTTGGGATCCGGTTGTTTTATTGGGATTTGGTTTCGGGTTTCGGGTTTAGGGTTTAGGGTTTAGGGGTTTAGGGTTTAGGGTTTTTTAGGGTTTAGGGTTTTTTAAGGTTTAGGGTTTAGGGGCTTCGAAGTTTGGGCCGAACTACGGGATGTGCCAAGATGTTGTTGTGGCTCGATTCAGGGTCAGGATTCGGGGTTGGATGTTCCGCCCGCGTTTTGCGGGGTATGGGCTGCGTGATGGTATATAGGTAGATATGAATGCATACAGAACATGGTTGGTATATAATTATTTAAGTATATAAGTATATAGTTATATAAATAGGTAGCTTTATGATTTTATAACTTGTATACTTATATAGTTATATGCAGTAATTATGTATAATATATTTATTTCTACTATGTGAGTATATAGTTCTAATCATATATATGTATATATACACACACATACCTGTGCGTCCTGTGGAGCCGAGTGTTTGTGTTGCCTGCCATACGCGCGCTAGAAGTTTGACTTTCCAGGTGGGAGCCCTACTGCCTAAGCCCCTGAGCCCCAAACCCTGAACCCTACATCCCAGTGCCAACTCCTCACTTGGGTTTAGGGTGTAGGGTTTAGGGCACCCAACAGTGAGTGGTGTTCTTCCAGAGAGGGTTATGCTGTGCGTATTGGCATCGTCGAGTGGGGGCATTACGGCAAGATGATGGGGAGACTTGGTTCTCGGAGCCCACTTCCACTGCAAATCTCACTTACAACCAGTGCTGGAGGTAGTCCACCCTGACACAACGACGACAACCTCGTTCACAATTGTGACCTCACAGCAAATGAACTACCACGACCTCCGCCATGGACCCTCGCTGCTCCCCTGCAGATCAAATACGGGATGCGGCCAACAGGCACCTCATTCGCGCCGCGCCACAAGATGTTGCTGATACAATTCAGCGCTTGTCGGATCGCCAGCGTGCAATCAATCACTGCCACAGACTTCTCAACGCGGCCTTGGAAGCAGCGCTAGATGACGGTGCTCTTCGAGGTGGTGCTGATGGTGAAGCTGTCCATGGAGAGGATGAAGTTGGAATGGTGGAGGGAGCTCATAGTGCATCGTCTGCCTTTGGAGATGCAGCTTTGGTGGATGGTGTGAGTGACCATGAAGACAGCTGAGGCATTTTACCCCAAACCCTCCTAAACCCCAAACCCCTAGACCCTAAACCCTAAATCCCTAATCCCGCAAACCCTAAACCCCAAAACCCCCAAACCCCTAAACCCTTAAGCCAAGTTGCCCTTGAACCCAGAGCCCCATCAACGCGAGATCCATAATCAACCCTTGTACATCCCTTGCCAACCCCCTATGAGCCATCATGGTTCCCTTATTCCTAGAAGCCCCCTTATACAATTCCCTTGCAAGCCCTTATGGTTCCCCTATGGAACGCTTTCAAAACCCTGTCCTGTTAGATCCCCTATCTGCCCGTATGGCCTTCTCGGTATAAGCCCTGCTAAATCCCTTATCAGCTTGTATGGTTGCCCTAAACCCTAGCCCTAAACCCTAAACCCTATAAGCCCTATAAGCCCTAAGCCCTATAAGCCCTAAGCCCTTTAAACGCTAAACCCTTATAACCTTTTGCAAACCCCTAAGCCCTTATTAGCCTTTACCAGCCCTTCTGGTCCCCTTAGATGTTGCTTTAGGGGTTCCTCAAAAGGCTCCTTTGGGGGTTCCTTTAAAAGTTCCTTGAAAGGTTCCTTTAGATGTTCCTTCAAAGGCTCCTTTAGGGTGGCCCTCTAGGGGTTCCTTCAAAGGCTTCCCTAAACCCTAAACCCTAAACAAGGCTCCTTTATGGTGTTCCTTTAGGGATTCCTTAAAAGGCTCCTTTAAACCCTAAACCCTGAACCCTAAACAAGGCTCCTTGATGGGTGGCCCTTTGTCAGGTGAACTTCCTGAACCCGCTGGTCCGCTCGGAGCGAGCCGAGGCCTGGCTGAGAGCAATTTTTTTTCAGGAAGGGGTTCCTTTAAGGGCTTCTAGAGGAGTTCATGGTTCCTTTAAAGGGTTTAGGGGTTAGGGTTTAGGGGTTTAGGGTTTAGGGGTTTAGGGGTTAGGGTTTAGGGTTTAGGGGTTTAGGGGTTTACGGTAGAGGGTAAAGGGTGTTCCTTTAGGGGTTGTAGGGTTTAGGATTTATACCGTAGACTGCACAAGGATCCCGTATCTGATTTCAAGGCATATTTTTTCGTGACGGATTTTGGAAGGTCTGGGGGAGTTCGAAGATCAGGAGCCAAAAAGCCAGACAGGGTATAGGGGGTTGGGGATTTAGGGGTTTAGGGTTTAGGGGGTTAGGGATTTAGGGCTTAAGGGTTTAAGGGTTGTAGTTCCTTTTTGGGATTACCGTATAGGATCCTAAATGTAAACCACAAGAAGGAGCAACTGTGGAGCCTCTGGGTGGGTTAAGGACGAAATGAACCCTAAGAGGGTTTAAGGTTCATATACCATATAGGGATTTCATAGTATAAGGCTATTGGGCCCCTACTTTTAAGGGTCATTTCGTCCTTAAGGTAGGGGTTAAGGCAGTCAAGGTTTAGGGCTTTGCGGTTTAGGGCTTTGCGGTTCACGACTTTAGGGCAAGTTTAGTGCTTTAGGGCCTTTAGGGTATATGGTTAGGGGAGTTGACGGGATCAAACCAAAAAGCCTAGTAAAGCCATCTATAAACCCTACACCTTCATAGATCCCCTAGAGATTCCTCATAGATCCCTTCTGCATACATTCCCTCAAAAGGACCCCTGCAAACCCGAAACCCGAGGGCCTGAGTAGGTCACCTTTAACCTTTTTGGGCTTGTATACTCCTACCATAATTCAAAAGGTTAACCTTTTTTGGGGCTAAAGTACTCAGCCCCTAAACCCTGAACCCTAAAACCCTACAACCCTAAAACCCTGAACCCTAGGGTTTAGGGTTTAGGATACTCAGCCCCTAGGAAACTGAGAGCTGCGAGCCAGGTTGCGCGGAATGCCGTCGGCACGTTCAGTGCCGCCCTGAGAGTCAGATCCCTCTTGCGACCAGTTGCGCCACCAGGGATTTGTGAGTTGGAGCAGAGTTTCAAGGCTCAGCCTCGCAGGGTTTGATATAGAGGCCCTAATAATTAGAATAGGATTATTGTTATTTTTTGGTGGGTTCCTTATTATAACTATAGTCTAATGTACCCCAAAACCCTGGTCTATATTAAGGCCCCTATATTAGGGTTGAGGGTTTCTGAGGTGTGGGGGGTTACAGGTTCGGGTTTCGGGTTCATCCCGGCCGTGCCATGTGCGATGGATGTGGATGCAACCGCCCTGCGAAGATCACGGCCACTGTTGGGGCATGTCTCCTGCCGATCGGACTCGCTCTGTCCGTCGTGAGCTGGCAGGCCTGGAACGACTATCGGTCCTCCATGTGGGAAAAAGAGACGAATATGCTCGTGGAAGGGTTTGACGCAGTTTTCTTTCACGGGCAGAGGTGACATCTACCCTGAGAGATGATCCGGCAGATTGCGAGGCCCGTTCCAGCCCAGTCCATTCACATCCGTGAGTTGTCGTCTGGAGCTACTTTTAATCTGTCCACCACCGAATGCGCCATGCCGGTGAACTCGAGACTCAGCATTGACTGGAAAGGTCAGGAGCTCGTTATGGTTGGCATCATCCTACCGGGGTCGCATGTTGATTCAGACTGGTGGGGTAGCTCCCCGAAGCCAGTCTGGGTGACGGGAGGAGAGCGCAGGTCCAACCCAGCCTACAACATGGTCGAGGAGCAGAAGATCGCCGTCCTGGGGTTTTGCGGCCATGTCCTTGGCATCGGAGGTACCATCACACTCTTTGAGAGCTTGTGCCTCATGTGCTGTTGCCAGCCACCAAAGCCAGTAGAGGCACGGGAGTTGTTGCTGGCGTTGCATCAAGCGCAACCTGCACAGACGGTGCAGGCTCCAGTTGCCGTGGTGACGCCCTTACAGGCTGAACCAGTAAGCACTTGAAGCCCACTTATGTACAGAGCCTGACGATTGTTGCCTTGATTTACTGAAAGGTGCCGCCCAGAGAACTGGACACAGCACCGTCTGGAGAAGAATGCAAGCTTCCACTATCACTATCGTGTCCTAGGCATATCAAAGATTTAGGCATGGAAGCACTTCTGGGTCGGTGTTGGATCAAATTTTGCATTTTTGTTGTTGTACAACCGTAATAGGGATTAAAAATATGGCCCCAACAGGGAACTAGACTCTATGCGGCCACACAGCCCATTGCAGCAAACCCGGCACACATGTTGCTGGGCAGGCTGCTTGCAGGATCCCCTGTGTGAACTGTATTGAGTCAGCAAAACTGCGTCTCTCTCACTGCACGTGCTACTGTTGATGATATAAATCTTGCATGACCTTAAGGACCCTAACCTATGGGAATTATGGTATATTCCTTATTATGTGTACTGCAGGATTTGTATCATCAAATGTGTGGCAACGTGTAGACGTATCGATTGCGCTGCCGGAGCGGGATCAGGGTGGGGGGGCAGGGCAAGTTGGCAGTCATACTCTTCGCTGCAGCATGTGACCAAACTGTTTAGGGAGTTTAGGGTTTAGGGCACATGACTCCTGAGGGCTTCTGCTGAGAATCGTAGTATACTGACCTCCTCCCCCCCTCACCCCAAACGTTCTGTCATTAATGTAGGGTGCCTCAATACTTACCTATACTGTTGTTTTTTTGGGGGGGTTCCTTGTGATAAGTGTAGTATACCCTAAACCCTAAACTGCCTAAAACCCTAAACCCTAAAACCCTGAACCCTAAAACCCTAAACTCCCTGAAACCTTAAACCCCAAAGCTCTACATTCTAAGTACTAATTTTGTTTATAGTGCTTGACCTTGTGGCGCCGCGGGTTCAGGGCCCGTGGGCTTCAGAAGCTTCGGGGTCCAAGGCAAAATCCTTTCTCGCTCCCACCCATAGAGAAACACCCCTAAACCCTAAACCCTTAAACCCCACAACCCTAAACCCTTAACCCCTAAACCCTAAACCCTAAACCCTAAAACCCTAAAGCCCTAAACCCTAAAACCCCATAACGGTTTAGGATGTAGGGCTCTGGGAGGACCCATAAAAAAAAAAAGCTTAGGGCTTAGGGTTTAAGGTTTGGGGTTCTGGGAGCACCCGATTAAAAAAAATAAAACACCTAGGACGGTTTAGGGTTTAGGGTTTAGGGTTCTGGGAGCACAACGGGTTTAGGGTTTAGGGTTTAGAGTTGTGAAATTATAGAAGGGTTGTTCATGGGTAGTTATAAGTAGGGTTATAGGTAGGGTACCTATATTTATAGCCCATATTAGGGGACTTATAACTCCACTTATAACTACCCATGAACCTCCAAGTAACACCCCTGTCAAACCTGTAATCAACCTGCTGTCTTTAGAACCCCCTTTTGAAAGCTGCACCAACCTCCATAAAAGCCGGTCCAGACCCTAAACCCTAAACCCTAAACCCTAAAACCCTAAACTCCTAAACCCCTAAACCCCTAAAGCCTAAACCCCTAAATCCCCAACCCTTAAACCCTTAAACCCTATACCCTAAACCCTAAAAGCCTAAAACCCTTAAACTCTAAACCCAAAGCCCTAAGCATTCCGCCAAAGCCCAGGCTTCACTCCGAATGAGATGGCCTGGGGCCTGAGCGGCGGATGTTAGCGCTTTTGGAGTTCGCTCTCAGTTGTAGGTTTAGGGTTTGGGGTTTAGGGGTTTGAGGTTTAGGGTTTAGGGCTTTAGGGTTTAGGGTTTAGGGTTTAGGCTATAGTAGTACTGAGTTGCCACTGTTCGTGCTGATTCTGCTAAGGGTTCGGCCGATGTTCTGTATTCTTTGTGTTGTTTGTTGTGTCTGTGTGCCTTAAACCCTAAACCCTAAAACCCTAAACCCTAATGTGTTTTGTTGACGTCGTCTGTTGTTGTGTCTTTCTTCCTGGGGATTTCGCGAGGCCCCGCGCCTCATACAGCAGAGCACTGGGGCTTTAAAGTCACCCAACAGTCCCTAACGCCCCAGGTACCTACTATATAGGGCCCGAGGGGCTCTAGTACCCTATATAGTAGGTACCTGGGGGGGGGGGGTAGGAGTCCTGTAGACTCCATATATCGAAGCCTTCAAAGAACACTTAAAGAACCCCGGTTTAGGGTTTAGGGTTTGGGGTTTAGGGTTTAGGGTTCACCTAAGCCCCAAACCCCAAACCCTAAGCCGCCCACATCAGGTGATGACGCAAGGGGAGATTACGGAGAAGCTTTGGTTTGTTGTGGAAAAAGGCAGCAGGGGGCCTTGGCACAAGAGGCGGCCCTTGACGGTTTAGGGGCGTACTCCGGACCTTCCAATACCCCTTCATTTCAGGAGCATACCCTAAACCGGGTTTAGGGTTTAGGGTCTAGGGCAGGAACATACCTTGGGCGTATTCGGGATCTTACTTTAACTTGAGGTCTTCCTAGGTAGTGTTAGGCAGGCCCCTTAAAGGGGACCCTTCTTAATTTTAGTTGTGGCTCTCTTAAAAGGGACCTTATTGAGAGGGTCTACATCCCCAAGGGTCCCCCTAATCCCAACTCCCAGGTATATTCCACTACTTAGGGGCTGAGTAGGTAACCTTTAACCTTTTTGTGCATATATATAATCCTACTATGATTCAAAAGGTTAACCTTTTTTGGGCTAAGGTACTCAGCCCAAGTCCCTTTCTAAACTTCCAGGAAGCCCCATAAGTCGCCTCAATCCCCTTCCATGCGTACCCATGGGCCCCTTAGTAGTTCCTTCTTGGGATTACTTTACAGGATTCTAAACATAAACCCACAAAAGGGAACTACTTAGGAGCCTCTGGGTACTGCAACACCTAAAACTCCGACTATTGCGGAATTTTGGAAGGTCTGCGGACTATCACTCTCCGGGGTTTAGGGATAGGGGTATTATTGCAGCGGTACGTTATGCTACTAAACCCGAGACCCTATACCCTAAGCCCTAAAACGCTATACCCTATACCCTAAGCCCTATACCCTAAGCCCTAAAACCCTATACCCTATATACCCTAAGCCCTATACCCTAAACCCTATACCCTAAACCCTTAAACCCTAAACCTTAAACCCCTAAAGCCCTAAAGCCCTGAGCTCTAAGGGATAGAGCCGAGTTGGAAGGGCTCGATGGGGCCCTGAGGGGCTGAGTTGGTAACCTTTAACCTTTTTGGGGGCTTGTAGAATCCCACTATAATTCAGAAGGTTCGCCCCTAAAACCCTATAGAACCTTCTCCGAAACCCTATAGAAGCCCTTCCCTAAACCCTAAACCCTAAACCCCTAAACCCTAATCCCTTTAAAGAGGCCCTAAAAGGGGCCTCAAAGAACCCTAATTTTTTTGGGGTTTCAGGTACTCAGCCCCTGGGGGTCTCAGGGAGACGTCAGAGCGACACGCCCTGGCCACCTTGGGACCTGGGCCGTTCTCGAAACTTTGGGGGAGGGGGGCGGGGGGTCCCGTTTCAGGGCCTCTTTAAGCTTAGGGTTTAGGGGTTTAGGGGTTTAGGGTTTAGGGGTTTAGGGGTTCAGGGTTTGGGGTTCTCGAAACTTTGGGGGTCCCTTTAAGGGCCTCTTTAAAGGGATCCCTAAGGGCTTCTATAGGGTTTCGGATAAGGTTCTGTAGGGTTTTAGGGGTCCCTTTTCCAAGGCTACCGTACTACGGTTGATGATATAATCCTGCATTACCCATCACAAGGAATATACCATGATTCCCATAGTTTAGAGTTTAGAAAGTTTCGGGTCCTAGGTAATGCAGGGTTTATATCATCAACAGTTTCTTGGGGACATTATGAGGGCTCCTAGTTTAGACAAGAGAACTAAGCGAACCAAAATCGGATACCGATGAACTTTCTCACAGCTACTTGTATCTTTTCAAGATAGATGTATACATACATATATATATATAGATTGTTGCAATGTCTACACTGCTTCAGGGGATGCAGCTTAACTGAAGCGGTACGCACCACTCAATCTTTCAATGGCGGCCAAATTCCAGTCCAATCCATCCAGTTGTCTTTGTGAGTCTTTGTAATGTTGTACTATAACTATCATAAGGAACCCCTAAAGTAGTATGAGTAATAAAAATATGTTTTAGGGCCTCTATAGTTTGCCTGCCAAGGTTGCCAGGTCACTCAGAAAGATGCAGCAGGCCTGTATGCACATTGTGGTTTTGCTTGTGCCGTTCATGCGTCAGTGGGTATGTTTCTGGGCTGCAAAGGGAGCGGCTTTTGTGAAGGCATCATTTGGTCTCTGACCTGGTTGTCGATTTTGCCCGGCAAGAAGGACAGATCCACACTCCACACAGGCTGCTCTAAGCAGAGTGACACTGTCGCTTTCATGCTCTTCTGACATTCGCACGCAGATCCACAGCTACTGGTAAAGCATGCTACAGCGCAAACGATTGGCAGCAGGGTGCTATAAGATTGTGGAGCAGGCAAAAGACACACCCATGTGTATAGGTGGGTGTACATGCATACATACATACATTCATTCATTCATACATCCATGCATGCATGCATGCATACATGCATACATGCATACATGCATACATGCACACATACACATACAATCATAGAAATACCCGGACAATATGTGTATGCGCATCTCCGTATGTGTGCATGCATGCATGCATGCATGCAAGCATGCAAACATATAAGCATGTATGTATGTATGCATGCATGTATGTATGTGTGTATCTAACTATCAGGCTGACCATCCAAATAAAAGCAACGAACAAACAAGATGTAGATAAATATGCCGGTGTGTGTATATATATATGTACACAATAAGTTGTATATAAACATATATGTATATACACATAAGCGCAGATACAGACAATGATATAGATCTGTGCATGTATATCTTTCCAAAAGTGTGTATATATATATACACATATATATATGTATATTCTATACACACATGCGCACATGTATGTTTGCATGCATGCATGTATGCATGTATATATATATATATAA